TTTGGCTTCCGTCGCGGCTCCCCGGTTAGGACCCTGAAGATCCAGATTGCCTTTGGCTGGAGACACTGCAGGATGTGGTGTCTAACCGAAGTCAGTACCGTGAATGTACCCTTTCCCGTATGAGATAAATAAAGTCAAAACGGTGTGCAGCAAACAAGCGAAATGGCTGCCATCCCCATAATTGACTGTTTTTTCTCTTTTTTCTGTCTCTGTATTTCGCGATTAATTAGATTTTATCGTTGAGTAGCTGTTAAAATCTGCAAGTGGCGATTCGGATTGTTATATGCTGTGCATGAGAAGAGAGAGCAGCGATGATTTTTCCCCCGCTCGGACGATTACTGTTGTCCTGACTAAAACAATTTTCTTACTTATTTCAGGCATATCTTTGGTTTGGAGTCCGCAGTGGGTTTTGTCCAGAACTGTCCGAGTGAAGAGAAAAATGCTGTTCATGAAAAGTAATTTGCTCACACAGTGTTAAGCTAACATTCACATGGTTTCAGACGGTCCTACGGAAGAAACCGAGGAAGGCGAAGTGGATGATGCATCCGAACCGGAGGATGCCGATTCCGGTAACGGAGAAGATGGGAATAAAATAGTATTCATTTTTAGAACCACCCAGTCCCACTGATGGTTCAAAAATAGCTCACAATCGCAGCTCGCGATCCGCTGGCGGTGGAACAAACCTTAAGAACCGCATCCCCACTGGGAGCAAAACAGAAGGCAGAAACGGATTACAATGCATTGCTATTCAGAAGTGCGTTCTCTGTGTTTTACATTTCCGTTCTTTTCAGAGTTGAACCATCTTCCAACCCCGCTTACGTCGTTTATGATCACAAAGCAGGTATACCCGCTACCGGTAAATTATCTGCATTACTTGATTATTCCTTTTTGAATTGATCATTATTAGCTACTTCAGCGACTCAAAAGAATTGGGAGAGTCTGAGTTCCGTTGAACATATTCGCGGATCAGGGGTAAGTCGCACCACGCTTTTCCATTGACATTTTTTTCTTCTGGCCTTTGATCCTGCATTTCGGAACGGGTACAGTTTTCTGAACTTCACTTCGCCTTTGCCATTGTTTTGGGTTTTGGTTTTAGTTGATTAGTCGGGTCTGGGTACCTTGGGTTGTGACTAGTCACTCTTCCCTGACATATCGCAAAATAATGTTATACGACCAAATGAATCAACTAGCCTCTGGCAAGAAAGCCATACTCACTGCCTTCCTTGTGGCGGAGGTGTTTTCCCATCAAAGTGGGAAGAAGAAAAGTCAACATCCGGGGTTATAATTGGTCAGCAAACCACCGGCAGTTCACTAAAGGGAGTTGGCTTAAATTTCGATTCGGAACGAAACGTGAAGAGGCAGCTTAGCTTTCGTCCGGCTCGATACCACACCGAACCTAGAGGTGCCTTATGTGGTTCGCCACTCCTGTTGCTTAAGTCAAAGTCCCACCACTTAGGCTACCGGTTTCCATAATTGAACTGCAGGTCTTCGTGACTATGAAGTTCATCCCTTCTGGTGTTGATCACACAAGTGTGTTCAAAATGCCCACATCTTCCTGGTTGTACCAATGGTCATTGGCACGACTGGGTATCGAGGTGTATTGGGCACCTTGGAAGTTTGACCCCGTCCAAAGGGCGTATGATTCGGTGAACTACACACCAGCTCCCAATGGATTGTGGTTTTTAAACACCGACCCACTGCCTTGTAGTTCTGGCTTTGGCTAACCAACGGCTTCAATTGTGGGCCTCCCAAGAAAAGTCACCTGCTTTGTCCTGGGCAACCTGGCAGTATTTCATCCACTTTCAAATCAAGGACTAATCTGTTTGTTAGAAAGTTTATTGTACTTGGTACATAGTTTGAGCTCAGAAGCGTGTGAAATATAATATATATTTGTTCACATTGTTGTTTGGCAGATTGAACTCTTGTGTTCAAGCTGCGAAACAACAATGTGAACAATTAGCCCTGCCTTCGAGGTTTATTCGGTGGACTCCCGTGAATTCT